ATATTTCTATTATATCTGCGGTCTCTGTTAGTTAACCTTAGATATTCAAGTTTTTTCAGTTTAAACAGATTTATATATTTTTTTATTTCAGCAAATCATTTGATGATTACTTTTCATGTATTTTTCCCACTCTAATGTTCCATCATCAGAATGGAAAGTATCAAAAATATATTACAGCACAAAAATACTTTCTGTTCTCATTTTCAAGGTCTTGCTCTGAAATAATCCTGAAATTCAGGGTCTATCCCGAATTTTGAAAGTTTTCCTCATACCTAAAGGAGAATGACACCTCTCCAACTTCTGCCTTCCCTCCTTCCTCCACTGCATTGAGCTACTCAAAGGCATGCTTATGAAGACAAATAATGGATAAATTGGGTCATTTTTACTTCATCTGGTATAACTATGAAAAACAAATATTTTAACAAACAATTGGAAATAATATATATTCTGGTGAATAGTGAATTCCCTAGGGAAACCAGAGTTTCCCAGCTCTGATTTAGATTGTAGTATGGCATGGGCAATTATCTCAACTGATGTAGTATAATTATACCAAAAGCAGACTGATTTTAATCCATTCTGAACTTAAAATTGGTAATGCCATATGAAGTTCCTAAAAAGTATAGTAGGTGGAGAAAGAAGAGAACTGTTACGACTTTCCCAAAGTTTAAAATCATTACTTGAAGCAGGCTTGGATTTTACACTAGGTGTGAGCCCACAGAATTATAAACAAAATTTTATTTCACCAGAACTCTGCCAAAAGAAGTTGCCGACAAGGTATAACACTTATGTATTTAGCAGGTCTGAGCCACAGGAAAAGATTACTCAATAAACTGAATATTTTATCAGGAAAAGTAAAGTGTTTCTGTGAAACTGAAGGGTTGGGTGATATAATTACTACATGCAAATGCAAATGCATTGTTTCGTTGAGTTTAGAGGCCTATGACTATACTCTGTAAATATATCATGCACTCTATATACAACTTCTATTGAATTTATAGAAACTTAAATTTGCTAATCAAGGCTGTTCTCTCACACAGTCACTTATGGGTAGGTCTCTTGTTTTCAGGCATTCAAAAGTTACTTTTGACAGGAAATAATTTTTTAGAAGTTCAATATCTAGCTTCCTATTATAAGGACTAGTCAAACATAACCATGTAATTAGGTTACACAACATGAAGAACAGAAATATAATGAGGCAAGCTATAGATGTGGCAAAGTATAGTGATTAAGAGCATGAGTTCTGGAGTCATGTTACCTGAATTGGAATTCCAGCACCTTAGTATTAGCTGTTACTAACCTATTCATCTTGATCTGGTTACTTACCTGTCTGACTTTACTCATGAATATAGTAGGGTGATAATAGTATCTTCCGAATAGCATTGTTTTCAGGGTTAAATAAGATGATCTATGTAATATGTTTGGTATAGAAAGCTCTTAATAGGTATTAATTATCTTCATCTCCATCACCATTAAAGGAAAACAACACTGACAAGTTTAAAGATTTAAATTATCTTTTCTGTCTGGAAAAATAAGTTGAGTATAATCTCCTATATTCAAAAAATGTCAAAAATAATAAGAAGCTCAAAGATCTAATCCATACTGCTCCATACCCACACCCCTTTTCTCACATGAGGAAATGAATTTCAGAGAGATTACATGAGTTGTCTGATATCACACAGCTGGCTAGTAGTACAACCGTGAGTAAAACTCAGGGCTCCTATCTCGTGTGTCTTAGATTCTTTCAATACATCATGATAGCCACCACCATCCCGTATCTGACATCATTTATTTAGTTATCAGAAATGTGGGACTGTGTCATAGAGGGCATAAGAACAAAAAATGTAACTGTTCATTAAATGTAATGATTTCAACATGAAGACAAGATACATGCAGATGAGTGATACTGAAAATTAAACACTGATTGCTATAGGTTATTAAGTGAGAGGTTTGGATTCTTATTCCTAGGTTGCCTTTAAAACCAAAACATCCTCTTCACTCATTCATTCAAAAGTATTTTTGGTCACTTCCTGTGGATCAAGCAATGGATGTTTGTGGGATGACTTGCTGCAATCTTGCCTAGAGACTGATGCCCCTGGAAGTACCTTTCATCATGAAGATTTTGTTCATTTTGGGCATCTACTTACATCATCTTACCTAATTCTGTAGACTTGCAGGGAAAAAGCGTTTTCTTTAACAAGTCTTTCTGGAGTTGATAAACCGTTTGCTTAGTTAGGTTTTCCCTTTTATGGATTCATCCTGAATCCACACTGCTGCTATTTAAATTCACGCTGGTTAATATGTTCTAATCTCTTTGATTCATACTAAATTATATCCTACAGCTTTACTTTTTGAAGCTATTCCATTTGTCCTCTAATGTTTCCATGAGGGTTGTATTGGATAAGCCATGTTTGCCAAATGACTATTTATAATAATGAAAGCTTAAGTAGAGCTAAAAACAAGTGTATAATCTATGGAATTAATGTACCAACTTTTCAAATATAAGAAGATTAAATAATTCCTTCATTTTAGAGCAAGACTAGTCATTGCTCAAATACACCAGTTTGCCCTTTGAATATCTACTTGTCAACATCTGAATAAAGTGACTCTGCCTATATTAGTATAAACAAATGTCTTGATGTGGATGTGATACAGGGTGTGTGTGTGTTATTTGAGTTAATTTCTGCAAGTCTATAAACCTTCTTAGTACATGCAAGTATCCTCAGCTAGTTCACTTGGCTAGTAAGATTAATTATGTTTTATTTGCTGTTGTAATCAGATTTGAAGTGGTTAAAAGGAGGAGGACTATGATTTATAGAACATCTATGAGGTGCTAGCCATGCAAACAACTATCTTCTCAGAATGATACTAGTATTAGTAGACCCAACCTGAATAGGCCAAAGCATTGCAGAATAGCATCTCTAGTCATGCGTACTCTCACACATTGCTGCTGGATATGTAGTTGGCATAGCCATTTGGGAAATCAATTGGGTAGTATCTATTCAAATGAATAAGAAACACACTCTATATTCCAGAAATTTCATTTCTTTAAGGAATTCTAGAGAGCCACATTGCACAAGGATGCTCATTGCAGCTTAATGAAAACCTGGAAACAATTTAAATGTCAATCAGTAGAGAAATATATAAACAAGCTATCAAACAAACATGGAATACTATTAGTTTAAAATAATGAATTAAGACATATATCTAGTATATGAATAATATAAATAAGAGATACTAGTTAAGTTGTAGAACAGTAAAAGTAATAATATTACTATTCATACATAGATATTTATGTAAAAATATCTTAACTGACAACAATAATAACCTCTGGGTAAGTGATTTGAGTGGAGAAAAGTGGTTAAAAGTAGGCCCTTTACCTTATCCATATACATTTTTATATTAAGAATGTATCTATACATTATTGCAAAACTAAAAAGCACTCCTTTTCTGCTCCTCTTGGATCTGTGGACCAAACCCACCTACACAGGGTTGTATTTATAACCGTTTTCCTAAACTGGAAAACATGTACCCGTTTGGTCTATGATCATTAATTATCTGCATTTGTCTGAGCAATTCTCCTCAGATACCAGCAGAAAATCTGGGAACATATTCAAAAGCTGCCTGGAAACACTGAGAAGGCAGTATTGCTGTTGATATAAAGGGTGGAAGAAGATTAAAATATTACAAGTTCAACAACAACAACAAAATCAAAGTGTGCAGAATATTTGACAATTTGAGTAAATATATAGTCCTGTTTTATTTTTATTTTTATTTTTGAATCAGTATCTCACTTTGTTGTCCATGCTGGAGTATGGTGGTATGCTCATGGCTCATTGCAGCTTTGACCTCCTGGGCTCAGGTGATCCTTCTGCCTCAGGATCCTGAGTAGATCGGACAATAGGAATGCGCCACCATGGTCGGCTAATTCCAGGCTGGTCTTGAACTCCTGACCCCAGGTGATCCTCTTGCTTTGGCCTCCCAAAGTGCTGGAATTGCAGATATGAGTCACTGCACCTGGCCTCATAGTCTGGTTTTAAGTACACACATTACACTTACACTATAGCGATACTTGATATGAGTCTGTCAGTGTCTCCCTTGTAAATCAGTGATTCAGATGTTTAATAGTCCCCTTGTTCTAAAGAAAAAAAATATTTTTACCTTTGTGAAAAAATATTCTGGAGTTGTGTCAATTGATTGCTGATTATAGCAAGGTATAGGGAGGTTGAGTAATACTATCAACTCTTTGCACACTAACAAAGCTATGCAGTTTTGCTGATTTGGGAAAAAATGTAAACAATGCCAGCATAATGGATAGAGTGATTATTTTATCTGATCATTACTAAAAATCATATTCTTTCACTTTTGTAAGTTTTTAACAGCAGAGCCTACTCTTTGAAGTTAAAGCAGATTAAACTGAAGAACAACAATCTTAGTTGAGTTTTTAAAGGTTTTCTATATTTGTTTGAGAATTTTTACATTTAATGTTATTTGATAAGAAATTGATTAGTGGGTACAGTAAATGGGTACACTATTAGGGTGATGGTTACACTAAAAGCCTAGACTTCACCACTATGCAATATATCCATATAACAAAACTGCACTTGTACTCCCTTAAATTTATACACATAAAAAGAGAAATAAATAAAATTTACAAATACTGAAAAAAAGTTTTTATCTGATAACAGTTTGCATCTTATTAATTGAAGATATATAACATTGAGGTATATATTAGCAGAGTTCTCAAAAGAATAATAAAAAGAATATAACCTAGCAGTGTAAGGAGAATGTATTGTTATGAAAACACTTGGTCTTTTACCATTAAGTTACTTGTAAAGCACAAAATAATTCAACTCTTTGGAAAGGTGGACGTCATCTGAGAAAGCACTAAGTAACACTCTTATTTCTGGCTAATTAGTTTATTATAAAAATAAAGAAAATAATACTTCAAAAACATAAGACTTTCAAACAATTTCTGAACCTCCTATTGTTTATCTTAACAGGAACTCTATTCTCCAAATCTGAAAACATCTGCTTGTGCCCCAAGCACTCTACATGTAACCCAAAATACCGAACAGGTAAAAGAAGTTATGGATTAGATTAGATTTGTTTCTCTTCTTTTTATGTAAGTGTTGTTCATATATACACATTCACACAATGTCAGGAATATAAAATAAGAAAGAGGATTCTCACATATAAGAATCAGGTCAGTCCATTAAAGGAATGTGAAATAAGTGCTATTAATCAGATTCTTCAGTTTCATTGCCTACTCAATCTATTTGCTTTTAGTTTGCGTGCAGTTTAATTTTAGCCAAAGATCTCCAAGTGAGTATGGATAGTTTAAGAATCCTTGATAAAGCACAAATAAAATACCTTTATCTTGTGCTGATTGAAGACTTGACTTTGTGAGTAATAGTATTATAAGTTTATATTCAGAGGTAATAACTTACAGGGTCAAATCTAGCTCTTCTCATGGGTGTATTATTTGAAAGACACATAAGGGTCCATCTCCCTTAACCTTTATGACCTAATAGTCCCACATTTAGGATGATTCTTGAATCTAGGCATTGTGTATATAAAAGGTATCTGTAATAATAAATACCAGATTAAAATATGCTTAATAAGTAGTTGCCATATATTAAAAAGTAAGTTCTCAGAAAAAACATAAAACACACTAAATCTGTGGTTACATGTGAGAGGAGGTGATATGGGATTTAGGGGATAGGAAGAAGAGATGCTGTTTTAAGAAAACAGTCTAACTCAGTTGAGAGAGGGTATGAATTTGGACAGTGAGGAGACAAATGGACAAAAACTAGACTTTAGACCTTGAGTACAGTAAGGAAAATGTGATATTATGCAGAACAAATAAGATTATCAAAGAAAAGTTTTCCTACCACTTCTCAATTTGGCCAAAACTAGCACTAGGTCAATTAGAGTCATGCATGTAGTCATCTAACATTTTCTGAGTGCCAAGTATGTGTCACAGATTGCACAAAAGTTAATTAGATCCAATTAGTATTATCAAGGTTCCCACAGACTAGCATGTGTCACATACATAACAAACCACGGGACAGTGGGATAAAGGCTATCACTGACTTAGAAATGGAACCCTATGAGGCTACCGAAGTGAGGTTATTACCTCAAAAAACAAGCCCATTAAAATTACAGGGGTGTTCACTACACTCAAATATAGTCAAAAGATTGTATTTACTGTGATTTTTCATAATGAATTCCTTTAAAATTGGAATTCCTGCATATATTAGCTCTAACAATAAAATATTTGTTGTAGAACATTTTACAACTATAAAAGAATGTAAAGAAGCATACCAAAATTCACTCATGATTTTCTCATTCACCCAGAAATAATACTCTTAACATTTTGTTGTGTTTTCTTTCATTCAAATGCAAAACTGAGATCATACCATATTGACAGCTTTGTAGTCTCATTTTCTCACTTAACCTTATATGATATTATGAGGTTTTCTTAATGTAATTTTGTATTACTCAAGATCATTATTTAAAGGGTACATACTTTAGACTATGAATGATTATTTAATCTTTCCCCTATCAATAGAAAAATGGTCTGTCCTACTGCACCTTAATCAGCATTATTATTTTTTAATTTTCCTGTAAAAATATGGCATTTTTTGTTAACTTTGATTCTTTGTTTGAACACTTTTTGTTAAGTTTACTAGTCATTTGTTTTTCTTTATTTAATAAATTGCTCATGTTATTTGCTTATTTTTCTATTAATTTGAAGATTTTTCTCATTGATATATAAGAATTGTCTTTATGTTGATGGTATTAGCTCTTTTTCCATCAGAAGTCTACAGATTACTTTGTTCTGGTGTTTTGTCTTCCTTTTAAGGTTATCTAAAGCCTTCTCCTTTCAACACAGTGAAGATTTACATGTTTAAATACACAAACACATTTTTTCTTTGTGTTTCTTTTCATTTTTTAAATATAAAATGTCATTTCCCAACCAAAGATTTAGTTGATCAATATTAAGTTATATTTTCTTCTAAGCATGTGGTAACATTTACAGTAGGACAAATATTTTTAAAATTTCCTCAAATATAGTTTAGAAAGCTCAATGAAATTAATATAATGAAGGTACCCAGCACAGTGCTGGGTACACAATACATGCTTTGATATATGTTTCTGAAGCTGAAATTACCTAAATCATAAAATCATACATTATCATTCATTCAAGTGACTCTAAAAATTTCACTCTGAAAATTGTTCCTATTAGTATTTATGGTTACAAAGTTACTAAATAACTAAGATTATATGCAGCTTTTATCGTCACAGGAACTGCATTCTCCAACAGTGAAAGTCACTACATATCCACAGACTACTATTAGACGATATATAGTACAAAATCCTGAACAGGTAAGATGCAATCTCTTTTTCCAATGTATAATTCCTTATAAGTTAATAGCTTAAACAAGAAGGGTGGGTCAGTTACCAGATCCTTCAGATCAGATTGCTGGACTTTCTTTTAGTTATAAAGTGAATTTCTAAACACTAGTTTAAAAAAATACCATATTTAATTCCAGACCATCATGTGCCCATACATTCTGACTCATGGATGCAACAGTTCCAAGCAGCTTGGAAAATCTTGGGTTATAAGCCCTTTCTACTTCTATAGCCCCACCCTTATGCTACAAAGGATTTGTTATGCACTTTGAACCAAAGAAAAAGGGATAAAGTTTTTTTCATAGGCTTCATATGAAAACTCTACCAACTGCTATATCAGAGGTTGGAGTCTTTAGTTTATATAAATTTGCCATTGAGATATGAACTAGGAAGATAAAAATTGTAAGTCAAAAGTTCAAAAGTGTCCCCATTTCTTCGTCACCTCTGATGTGTGAATTTTTGTGCCCAGGAATGAACTGTTAAAATTACATTATTATATTTCTTACTGAGATATATAACCTTACATTTCACAAACTTGAAAATATTCTTCTGTGTTTCTTTTGAGTAAAAAGCCTTCCTTGACACACACACACACACACACACACACACACACACGCACACACACACACGCACACACACAGCCCTTCTTTAACTGCAACAAGAGGTTCTACGAAGTTAAAAGGACATGACTTTCACAATTGGAAACAGTATGATCCAGATAGGAATACAGAAATTCTTTGCTCTTTATTGTATTTATTTGTTATGATGGGAAACAATCCTCCCGTCTTCTGCAAGATAAAATGAATTATTTGCTTCAGTTGTGGAAGGCAAACAATTAAATTAGGGTGCCAATTGCTACTTTTCTGGGTGGCTGGGGAGGATGTACTAGTCTTCTACTAGTATCTATCCTTTATCTTCCTTATTTATTTATTAATTTAAAATCATGTTTTCATGTCTCCTTAGTTAGGAGTTTGTTAGTTATGCATGTGTGTCTGTATGAACCTATGAAGCTCTGAGTTGAGTGGAGATTGCTTTGGACGTTTGCTTGAGTTTTTATATATCTATGTAAATATTGAAAGATATGTGATTATAGCTACATCATTTGTCTGCTCCTTCTTTTATAGAAGCCAATATTTAAACAACAAATGCGAAAATTGTAGGGTCCAGGAGGGGAAGATGAGGAGGGCCTGGGAGAGGAGAATGTGTCTCTTTTTCTCACTTTGCTAATCACTTTACACTTCCCCTTCTTCTTTTCTCTCTTTTTATCTCTTTCCCACACAAATTGGGGGATGTAGATATATGGATGCACATTACACTTGATATCCCTGGCTTTCAAAAAGTTAGTTCTAGATAACATTTTTTTCCCCATAATCTGAGAATTGCTGTGCTTGCCTAGGATATATCCAGAGAAATTTTAAATGCCCAATTTGTCATCAATTCTTATGTGACTTTGGATAAATCCTTATTCTTCACTTAATTGGAAAAAAGGAAAAATTAATATTCATTGGTATACACTCCATGCTAAGCAGCTTACATATTATATCCCTTTTAATCCTAAAAAAGGCAAAAAAAAAAAAACCAGAAGCACAGAGAAATTCAGTCATTTATACAATGAATGTTGAATTCCCTACTATGTGCCAGAAATTTCCCTAAGAACTGGGGATATAGCAGTGAACAAAACAAAGTTCTAACTTTCTTCAGCTTAAGTTCTTAACTGGTGGCAAAACCATTCAATTATGAAGCATCAGAGTTTTTTGTTTGTTTGTTTGTTTGTTTTTTAAACAAAACTGAAATTGGACAATGTAGAGCTGGGAGAGAAACATTTGCAAATTAAGGACAATTAATGACGAAGGTGAAATAGGATCCAGAAACTAACCTATGTATCTCCTTACTCATCAATATGGGTTTCATCTACAAACATGCAAATGGTTTCTCAGGAAGCCTCAGCAGAGGGTTGAAGAAAAATGGTAATTTTATTGGCAGTTGAGGGAAACTGCTAGGGGAGGGAGGGACATATCTCATCAACAGGGGTACCTGTGTGATCAATGTTTGTATACCTAACCCTGAATTGTACCCCACATCTTTATAATAAACATTTTAAAAAGGAAAAGAAAAATGTAATTTTAAAACTTTTAAAGTTTTTAACTCTTTCCATTTTTGAGGAATAAAACAAATTACAAGTTTCATATTTTGTAAACAAAAATAATCTGATTACTTACAAAGCAGCTTGAGAATCTTATCTAGATACATTCTCCATTTTATTTATATTTCTCTTTTGCTTGTTCTTTTACATTCGCCCAGAAGATTCTAGTTTAATTACAGTGCTGAGTCTCTTAAATGGCAACTTTATCCTCTTTCACTTTTCAGTTTGTCTACTCTTTATTTCTCCTCCTTGTAATTAAATTGATTTCAATCTACTACTCTCATTATGATTTCCTTCTACATCTGTTTGGCCTTTTTATTTTTGGTTGTTCCTAATCTTCCCCATTCTCCATTTGTCATCATCTTAGTCAAAATATTTATGCATTCTGATTAAAATTTGATCCACAAATGAAAGAAAGACTTTTGTCCCATCAGTGGACAGACTCCAGTTGGTATTAATCAATTTCATTAATTTTCCAGTTGTAGAGCTCTTGCTATGGAGAGGACACATTCAAGTAGAAACAAGGAAATAAGACTTATTTCCAAAACCAAAGTAGCTTATATTTCCTTTCAGGAAGGGAAATAAGACATATCAACAAATAACTAGACATTATGAGAGAAATGCAGAGGAAGTCTTATTGGAATTCAGAAGTTGGAGATAGTACATTTGTTTGGGAGAAATCAGGGAAAAATTATTGTGGTATTTAAGGTATTAGTATGATTAACATTGTGGTGAACATTATTTTACTAAGGAAATGAAAATTTAAACAAATGTGAGTTGCTGAAGTCTTCTGATTCAAGTTAATTGAATCTATATATTGTATATATTTTCTGACAGCTATCTTGGAGGTAGCTTCAACAAGATTTGATAACATTGGTTATAGAGGATAAAAGAATAAAAGTCAAATATGATCCTAAACATTCCAGCTTGAGACACGGGGACTATAGTGACCTGATTACTAAAAGGACTGAGAAGTGAAGGGAAAGGTAAGCTGATTTGGAAAAGGAGATGGAGAGATTTTTTTTGAACCAGTAGTGTTTGAAGTGCATGGAAGGGAAAGATGCTCAACAAGCAGTTAAAAATGACACGAAGGAAGGTCACATTTGAGATACAGACGTGGGAGTTATTAGTCTTAAAGTTATCATTAAAGCTGTGGGAATGAGTGAAATCACTGAAGGATAATGGAGAGGGTTGTGGTCAGAACCTTGAGAAATGCTTACCTTAAGGGAACAGAGGGAAGGAGCCACTTTCACAGGCAGAGGAGTTGTCAGAGAGGAATGTGAACACGGAGTAACTGAAGCAAATACAGAAAAGGGGTAGTCAACTGTCTTAAATAACCAAAAGACCAAAAATGATAAGGTTTGAGAATAGAGTTTGACCATTAAGATAGTGATCGTGATATTTGAGAGATCAGTTTCTGTAAACTTGTGGAAGCAACATCTATAGTTAATGGGTGAGTAGATGAAGAAGAAGGGAAGAAAATGAGTGAAGATTGCTCTTTGGCAAAGGATATTGATCGAAGGAAGAAGACACAGGGTGGTAACTAAAGGAGAAAAAACAATCCTAGAGACCTGGGAGAGTTGTAGATAAAAGAAAACACTCAGTAATAAGGAATGATAAAGATGCAACAGAGAAAGGAGACAAACGGGTTAAGATTCTGCAAGAGATAGGGAATGGAATTCCAGATACAGACACAGAAGTGACTTCAGAAAAAAAAAAAAAAAAAAAGAGGAGTATGTCTCTTTCTTTATTGAGATAGAAGGAGCAAAAAAAGCGATTTTTGAAATGTGAAGGATAATAGAGAGATGTAATTGGATATATTTTCTTTGTTTTCTCTGTAAGTAATCAATTTCATTAATTTTCCAGTTGTAGAGCTCTTGCTATGGAGAGGACACGTTCAAATAGAAACAAGGAAATAAGACATATTTCCAAAACCAAAGTAGCTTACATTTCCTTTCAGGAAGGGAAATAAGACATGTCAACAAATAACTAGACGTTATGAGAGAAATGCAGAAGTCTTATTGGAATTCAGAAGTTGGAGATAGTACATTTGTTTGGGAGAAATCAGGGAAAAATTATTGTGGTATTTAAGGTATTAGTATGATTAACATTGTGGTGAGCATTATTTTACTAAGGAAATGAAAATTTAAACAAATGTGAGTTGCTGAAGTCTTCTGATTCAAGTTAATTGAATCTATATATTGTATATATTTTCTGACAGCTATCTTGGAGGTAGCTTCAACAAGATTTGATAAGATTCTGAGAAATAAAAACATTAATGAGGGAGTATGAGCACAAGAGACTGGAGCAAATAAAAAGTTTTATAACTATTGTAATAGAAAATTTGATTAATACAAATATAATCAGAAAGGTCATAGAGCCTACTTAAAGTTGGATAACTTGAACTTGCAATGAGCCAAATCAATAAACCTTTTTTTTTTCTTAATCTTCTCCGGCAAGGCTTTGTGTCCTGGGAACAGTAAAGGCTATGTTGGGGATTACATACTTTGCTAGATGTGAGATCTACTGCCAGAGGCTTTAAAAGCAACAATTAAAATTATAAGATCAGCTATTTTGAAAGCACCTGTTAATTTTTAGGGTGGATCTGGCACCAATTCAAATGGATAGATTGAGAAAAAGAAGCTGCCAAAAGAGTAAAGTTGTCTAACAACTCATTTGCTGAGAAATCTAAAACTTCTGATTACATTTATTTTGATGAGTTGTTTTGTTCAGAATGATTTATTTATACTACTATTTGATTTTACTTTATTATAGATTTAGTGAAAGTAATAATCCCTTAAATTTGGAAGTAATTTTTTCAGTAAGTCGTTTCAGAGAATAAGACCACAACATAAATTCTAGAGAGAATCAATACTGTTAGTGCCTAAACTATCTTTTTTCTTTAAAAAAAATGATTTAAGCACTTATAGTGAACATTAGTTCAAAGAAAAAAAAATTTCATGCTATTGCTAAATATGTTTTCCCCCGTTTAGAAGGTGATTACATCTTTAAAATAAAGTTTTATTTTATTTAGTCAGTTTCTATGGGGTATTCAAGGTGGACAAAGTTCTTTCCTCAGGAAGCCTACACTTGATATCCTAGAAAAGTTCTAAAATTCTTAAAAATCTCTTAAAATAAAGTAGGGATTTCAAATATTATATTACCATTTATTAAATACCAATGTCATTTGTACATTAAAATTACATTGAGTACTTTAAATTACATTATTTTACTTGATACAAAATGTCTTGCATTGCTATCCCTATAATAAGGAAACTGAGCCTTAGATAAGGTTGATGGGTTACCTAAGTTTCCACAGCACATTGATGATGAAAGAACTGAAACACAGGTTTTATGACTCCATAACTTTTTTTCCCAGTAGACCTGCTTTCACTGATTTTAGTAGTCAAATTCAATGGATTTGTAGTAGTCCAAATCTAACCCACTTTGTAATTCTCATCTGTTGACCTCTGAAGCATTTATACCTTCAACTTTTTACACTTCCTGAAAATTCCTCCTCTTTGATATTTTTTCTTCTGATTCTCAGACCTCTTATGATTTGTCTATTTCTCTCCTTGACCTTCATTTGCCTTTTCAGCAATTGCCAGGTTTTACCTAGCTCTTCTGAGTAGGTGGTCTTGAAATCTAAATCTACAGTTTTGAATTCTTTATTTAGTTCTAGATTTGCGTTTTCACCTGTGTGTTGAACATCTACATCTAAGTGCCCAACCCACCATAGTTTTTTAACAATTTTTTAATACCCACACATTTTTTGTAAGAGACTCTTTGGTTGTTCTTTGTAATTATTTGACACATATTAAAGTGATTATTATGCTATATATATTTTGCTAAGTGTTCTGAGAAATAAAAACATTAATCAGACCTAGATTTTTCCTAGGAATACATAAAACTCCATGTGTCTCAATGTTTTTGTTTTTGGTACCACTGGCTGTGTAGTAGACTCCTCAGGTTTAAGATCTCAGAGTCATTTTTGAAAAGTACTGTCCTTGATTATTAGGATAATCTTACTGTTCTCCTCATCTGTATTTTTTCTCTTCTCTAACTATTGTTCCTGAAGTAAACTTCTGTTTACCTCACACCCCTGTTTAAAAGCACATAAGGACTGCTCACTGCTTGCAGAACCAAGTTTTATCTGCGTATATTCTGTACATATACTTTTCAAAACTTGGTGACTCGTTTTGTTTCCTTCACTTGGAGCCCCTCATATCCAAAGACCATTTTTGACTTCTTTCAAATGCCACCTGATCTAAGTATCCTACCTGAGCACTGTAAGATGGAACTCATTATTTCTTCCTTTGAACGCCATTCCATGAATTCTTTCTCTGTACCCCTATGGGCATTTGTCACTTTCTACCTTATATTATAGATGTTTGTGTCCATATGTTATCTAGACAAAGAGTTGGCACAATTTTTCTGTAAAGGGCCAGACAGTAAACATTTTAGGCTTTTCTGGCCACATAGGGCCTTGGTCTTCTTTGCTTTTTAATTTACTATCTTTTAAAAGTCTAAATACCATTCTTAGCTTAGAGTAGTATAAAAACAAGCTATCTGCTGTAGTTTGAAGAACCCTGATTAATATTAACTTCTCTTGGTAATAATATGTCTGCTTTATGTTTTTATGCTTCACAGCACTTTGCAAAGTGCATTTTGTGTAGCAAGCACTTAAAACATATGTAACATAATTGCAGGTAAGTACCAAAGAGGCTCTTTTAAAAAAACAAGAACATAAACAAAAAATAGCTTCTAGGAGAATCTTTCTAAATATATTCATCTTTAGATTTAATAATTCATCAACTAGTCAAATTTAGCCACTTACATATCAAAGTATCCAAGGAACATTTGATTAAAGCACACTTTACTTAAACTTGAATAGAAATATATAGTTTTTCAAGAGTGTCTTTCCCTTTCAGCACCCAGGGTTTTAGTCCAATTGTTCTGTGAGTATTTAAAATAGCAGACAGGGAGATAGCCCACAGATTGGGAAAAAGTATTTGCCAACTCCATGTCTGACAAAGGTCTAACATCTTGGATCTACAAGGAACTCAAACGTGCTAAAAAGAAAAAAACAAACAACCCCATTACAAAGTGGGCAAAAGATATGAACAGACATTTCACAAAAGAAGACATATGAGCGGCCAACAGACACATGAAGAAATGTTCAACCTCACTAATCATCAAGGAGATGCAAATAAAA